TGAGGAAGTGGGAAAGGCAGGGTCTGCGTACCTCTCGGCTTGAGCTCTCGTGCCCTTTGTCGTTCTGGTTTTTGTCTTGCAATTTTGGCTATTGAGCACATATGAGTGGCTCGGAACACACTATTACGGGTGAAGGAACTAGGTATTGCATAAAAGTGTTCTCTCTATTATCAATTCCTTCTCGCACATTGGTTCACGACTCTGTTAATACATGGACAGCGACTGACAGTCCAGCTTCAGCACACCCGGGGCAACAGCTGCGATACATCTAGGCGCTTGCCATGTGCTTGAGCAATTCTTTCCGGACCTGGCGCTCGGATCAGATTTCATCTATTCATCCTGACTTTATGTTCAGTATAGCGTCCCGCGAGATGTGAATGCTTATCTGACGGTGGGCATCCATGCATCACGCTATTGAACACTCTATCGTCTTGTCAGGCGACCAGATTAGCTCCACAATCCTTCCATCACTCCAATCTGGCCTTTCGTCTGCTTCTACCAGCGAAGAAGACGACATATGCTGTTACGAAATCATGCCCACTGTTCACAGTTCCTGTTGCGCCAAACGAGCAGGTCCAGCCTGGAGCTGACACGCTATACATATGGCTAAGGCCCTCGACCAGGTTTTCGTTCGGCTCAGCGTATTCGATGGGTCTATATTGACCGGGCGCTCCGTACATCTCACGATTCATTTGAATGACCACACATAGCAGACCCCACCGTGACGTAGTGTGTTCTGACCACCCATGCATAAGCGAGGTATGGTCTTCTCTCCAGCCAGCGGCTCTTTAAATCAGTACCGTATACTAATACTTTCACACTCAGGTCTTTGCTACACTTTGCGCGTGCAGCCCATTTTCACAACCCTTGTGATGCTGTCGCTAACGAACCCGATGAGATACTCAAGCTCTGAGCTTCATATCTTAGGGTCGAACAAGCAGCGGCCATGTGTGATCAAGATCATCCTAAATTATAGATGACCCACACCTCATATACAAGCATTCAAGTCATGGGCACACGCTACCGATTTCCCCGCGAAATGTGACCTCCGGCTATTTACACCCCTGCGCACTTCATCTATGCATTCCCCCAACGGCTGTCTGCTCCGTTAAGACTACCACAAAAGTCGAACGTGCTTTTTCGCACCATTGGCCCATTGATCGGATTATGCAGTATTCCTCAGATCTGGCCCGGTCGCACAAACTCCTCTAGAGGTCGAGATGCCATGCGGCTGTGACGGACCAAGCATATGGACTATTATCACACATCAATCTATGGTACGCGTGGGAATTTGCCTCTATGAGGCAACACAATACCCGGTTTCCTCACGCGATACGCGCTGGTGTGGCTTACGGGGGCAAACGGAAAGTATATGAGAGGGTGCACTCTCTGCTTGTACCACCGCCCATCTTTGCGCATCGACTTGCTATCTAATATCGGTCCCTCTAGTTTGCTCTACAACATCATAATGAAGTTCTACACGGCATTGACGGCGGTTGCTTCCTTGGTTGCAACTGCGACCGCTCATGGAGGAGTCGATCAGTATATTGTAGGAGACACAACCTACCAAGGGTACATCACCTTCTCACACGCACTCTTCCCATGTACTGACAATTCCAAGATGGTCACCGTACAACTCAGCTTCAGGTCAAAAGTCCATTCAGCGACAGTACTCGACTTACGACCCCATGTACATCAAAGATCTCTCAGTACGACCCTACAAAAGCGTACATCAACCAAAAGCTCACTTATTCTAGACAGTCAACATCCGCTGCAACAACAACGGCGCTCTCGGTACAGGCATGACTGGCACCATTGCCGCTGGTGCCAAATTGAAGACACACTGGAAGCAATGGACTCACAGGCCGACTTCTCTTCTTGTATACATGGCCAAATGTCCGGGATCTTGTGACAGCTTCGATGGAGCTGGTAAAGTGTGGTGTAAGTACACATCCCTTAAGTGGACTACATCTCTAACAGGACCGCGATGTAGTTAAGATATATGAGCAAGGCCTCATATCCGGGACTGAAAACTCCGGCATCTGGGGTAAGTTGTGAGGGTACGAAGTGCATGTGAGACAAACACTGACTTCGTACCTCTACCTCTGCAGCAGGTGATGCCATCCTCGACACTCTCTATGCCACAGTCACTATCCCGGCTACACTTGCAGCAGGTGACTACTTGATCCGTCATGAGCTCATCGCTGTACATCAGGCGAACAACCCGCAATGTGAGCCAATTTTTCACATTGCCATACCGATGCTCAAGCTGATACTCTCCAGTCTATCCCGAGTGCGCTCAATTCACCGTGACAGGATCGGGTACAGCCTCTCCTCCCGCATCAGCGCTCGTTTCTTTCCCGGGCGCCTACACTGGAACAGAGCCTGGCATTGCTTTCAACATTGACTCCCCTGAAGCCAAGCAAGCAACCACTTATCCTGTCCCTGGCCCTGCTGTTTGGGATGGAAGCGGTTCTGCGCCCGCGCCGTCTGCTGCACCCACCACTGCACCCACAGCCACAGCCTCCCCCACTACCATCATGACCAGCGCATCTGCTACGCCCACAGTACCAGCTGCGCCCATATGCGAAGTTGCGAAGTATGGGCAGTGTGGCGGGAAAACCTATAGTGGATGTACAGGCTGTGCGAGTGGGTCGACGTGCAAAGCCAACGGCGATTACTACAGTCAGTGTGTTTAGACTCGGATCGCTCGTGACGGTCACATCAAATAGTAGTTCATGCCTAAGCAGAAACACAGCAGACCTCGGGAATAAGTGATTTCGGTTTTGGCCAGCATGACATCATTAGTGACGATTTAACCCGAAGGGGTATAGCAGTCACAGTCTTGGCAGGGGTTCGTCCCCCTTCCAGATTATGGTTCTCCAATCGTTCAACTCACATCATCCATGTCAAATCCGTTTTCAATACTTCAGAATTTGCTCGTTGATTCATTCGGATGTCTAGCTACCCAGCGCCAAGACCTTCGCCAGGACATCATCGTCGCTTGATCCGTCTCCCTTGATAGTCGCATATGCTGGCGCAAGCACAGCCTTCTCGATCTCTGTGTATTTTCCGTCGCAGGCAAAGATGAGGTCTCCGTGACGAGACTTGTCTACCATCAAGTAGGCCGCTGCTCGGGCAACGACTGAAGTAGACTGGCAGTTGTGCGAAACCGCATCTAGCAAACCTTTCAAATCGGGCAAGACCTGAGTTGCCGTCCATGAAGGGGCGAGAGTGTTGACGCGAATAGGCAGACCGGCAGCCTTCACCAACAGCGCGAAACTCCTACCAAAGCCTAGAACACCCGCTTTGGCCGTCGCTGAGTCGTGCTGTTAGTGGAAGATTCAAACGTGATCGACGAACTTGTTACTCACAATAATCAACTGCTCGGACGGGATGCAAGCCGGTGCTGGACCCCATGATGACAATAGACCCCCCCTCGGCCTGGCCTTTCAGATAATGGGTAGCGAGTGTCACGGTCCTGACAACACTGTCCAGATTGATGTCCAAGGTGTCATCGTTTGGTTCCTTGGGGTCACCGTTCTCATCGACTTCGAGAGCCAAGTAATTTGCGCGTGGCCCAATTCCAGCATTCGCAAACACAAAGTCAACACGACCGTGCTTTTCTTTCGCGGCCTTGAATAGTTTCGTTAGATCGCTCCAGCGCCTGACGTCGATTTGGACGAAGTGACAGTCAGCCACAGACGCCGGTGGTGCCTGAATATCACCAGTCACAACTAGTGCGCCTAGAGAGAGCAGTAGCTCTGCTGTGGCGAGACCAATACCAGACGACCCACCTACGGCATTGTCAGTGTTCTGGAACCTGAAAGTTGATTGGGCCGAATCAAGGTACCTGTTATGACGGCAACTTTGCCCTGAAAGCCCGTCAGGTCAGAGTCTTGGATTTGGAACGATGTCATGGCGGAGCTAGGTATGGTGAGAGTAAACAGATGGAAGTTTCAGCAAAATACAGAAAGGAAGAGGATAATATGCAGACATAATCGGGGCCCCGGCGCATCAGCTCGAGCTCATGCAAGAGCGCACTGATTTGGAACAGTCATGGGCTGGCATTGTGAGGCTACCCGTGTTCTGGGCCCAGAAACATCATCTCAAACGAAATCTGAGGAGCTGCCGGAGATTTACAAGGAACACAGCGAGCTCGGGAGGGACTTCGTACGGGGCCCGTTTTTTTCATCCGCAGGGAAGGATTCCGCTCGTGGCAACCCAACCGCGACCTTGAAGCTGCTCAATCAACATCGCAACACACTCGCGCGACTGAGCATCTATCAGTCAAGATACGAAGCGCGATGGTAATCGCCTGAACCAGGTGACCACCCAACTTTGCTGCCGTCTTGGGACGAACATTTTCTAATCAGGCAGTCTGAGCGTGGCGCCGGCCAGTGTTGGAACCGCGTCCATGGGCGGACCAGCTGTAAGACCCACTTAAGCTAGCAACGGCCCGACAGGGGAAGAAAATCACGACACCTGCCACCCATGTACCGGTCACTAGGGGTCACCAACGCCTCGCGGGTACTTCGACGATTTAGATGGATAGCAAGTCTGGTACGCATAAGGCTTCTTTGATGCGGGTAGCTCATCTTCACGACGCCGCAGCCCATAGTGGGACCATGCTCCATTGATGCTCGCTTCCACAGGCAAGGTGTCGGAGAAAACGTAAACAATTCGGACCACGCGGCAGTCCTATACACTAAACTATTCCCGAGGGCATCCTCCGCGGGTAGTTGACACATTAGATCCGATCTAGACGAAGCCCTTTACGTCTAGCGCCCGCGACCTTAGGACGTAACACGAGGGCCCTGTTTGCACGGCTCACGATCCACGACATGAGTCGACAGAAAATTGGGGTTCTCCTGTGATACAGTGGTAGAGATGAAACGTCCAATATATGTCATCCGGCGAGCTGCCACCGGTGTCATGTTCGTCATCTGCTTGCTTCATTTCTCGATCTCTGATACGGTTGTCTACATTACGCAAGGAACATGACGACTGTCGAAGTGGCCAGAGATGGAGTGGCGTTGTTGTACTGCGCAATCATATTGCTCGTGTTGAGTTGGATCGTCTTCTCTATGAGAGTCGGGGTACGGATGTGGAGGAAAGCGTGGGGCATGGATGACTACTTCATGCTCGTCGGAACTGTAAGTACCCAGCACCACCAGCATGGGATAAGCCAACTGATAGTTCGCTGCAGATTCTCTTCTCAGTGACAGCTGCTCTTTGCATCGTCTGTTGTCACTATGGCTCTGGACAGTTCGCACGAGAGCTGCCCACGGTGACAATATCCAAAGGAACAAAGGTACATACTCCCTATCTACGAAATGCTATAGACTCCGCACTCACTGTGTTCAGCTCTTTTACATCGCAGAGTACTTCTACGCAGTCAGCGCCATGTTCGTCAAGATCAGTGTTGCAGTAGCGCTTCTGCGCATCGCTGTTGGTCGTCGCTTCTTCACGTGGGCTTTATGGGCGCTGATTGGTGCTACCATGGTTGCTGCTTTAGTCTTCTGCATAGGAATTGCAAACATCTGTGAGTTGACTTGTTCCACAAGTAGGAAATATCGTCGCTAACGTTTTGCCGGCCATCCGATCAACACGCTATGGGGTGAATCTAATGGCACCTGCAACCTTCAGCTCAATACCAACGTCAGTCTGTTCTACTCGGCCATCGAGATCACTGCGGACTTTAGTCTCTCGATCACGCCGGCTATTCTGCTTTGGAATGTCCAGATGAAGGGAGCTGTGAAAGCTTCAGTTGCTGTCATGCTTGCGCTCGCTTCTTTGTAAGGCCTTGACGATCCCTCATGCTATGATATCAAGAACTGATCCTGACTCAGTGCCTCATGTGCTACCATCGTCCGCCTCAAGTACCTCACACTCTACAGTGACCCTGGCGAGTTCATGTACAGTACGGGCAAAATCGGCTTCTGGTCCTTGACCGAAGTCGGCATTGGCCTCATCGCCGGTTCGCTACCTCCTCTTCGCCCTCTCCTATCCCTGCGCATTAGGGTATCTGCCGGCTCCAATACTCCTGCTGCATCTGGCGGACAAGCATACCAATCTGGAATAAACAATCGGCAGCCCACCTCGCGCTCCCGCGTGATAGCCATGGACACCTTCCAGACCTTGGGCGACAACGACGAGGCCGATAATAGTGATGGAGACTCTCAGAAGAATATCATAAAGGAGACGAAGTTCACAGTAACTTCGGTCATTGCTGGAGGTCCTCGAGACCCGGGGCCTATGGCTTGGGATCGTAAGGAGGGAAGCAACGTCTGAGACTGTTTGCTTATGATGAGAACATAGTGAAATGAGCGCGAGTCTTAGGTAGTGATAGCGAACGCGGTAGACTCATGATATACTTTGTACACTTATCAGAGCCGGCGTGGAAAAGTGCAGGATAGACGTGTGACGGCTGCGGAGAAGGTTCATATCTGAACCACCAGCTAGACCAGAGAGATCTCGGTGTCTTCCAAGCTCATGGGTTGTGTTGATCGTACGTTCTACGTTCGAACGGGAACCGTAGACCTATGTAGTCCGCCCAGATAGTGCACCTCGGCGTAGTTGCTATGTGTGGTTGTGTATTTGCCGCTGGCTCGATAGAGGCATCAGTATTATCCTAGCAACAGGAAAGTTCTGCTCAAACAACAGCTGCAGGCCGATTACTAGACAATATCTCAGGCGTGTGGGGCGTGTAGATAATTTGTCGTTGAGTAAGAAGTCTTGGCAGACGGTCTCTTGTATTACCTAAAGAAGTTAGTAGAAGCGAAGTGAGTGAGTTGTTGGCCGTCGCAAATGATCGTGAAGGTCATAAGAACGCGTGTAGGGCGTCTAGTTTCGGCGATAAGCGTGCTAGCTACGTCAGGCCGCCTCAACCCGAAACCCCACCACTTTGACCTACACGGCAGTCGAAAGCAGTAGCACAATCCCCACGATACATAATGAAGGCCGCCACGATGTCCAGACGCTACTTGTCAGCTCCACGCAACCTCGTACCCACTCTTCCGCGACACGCCCCAACACCTCGACGACCGTTCTCTACTACACGACCAGCGTCCTCCGAGATGGATACAGCAGCATTTGGCGAACAGCACATTGCAAAGGGCATTGGCCGCCTCACCAAGCATGTATTTGAAGATGGAAAGGGCACATTCATCACCACGGACAAGGGCGTCAAGCTGCTTGACATGACGGCCGGCATTGGTGTTGTGAACCTTGGTCACTGCCACCCCAAAGTCAGCGCTGCCGCAGCGGCACAATGCAACAAGATCACACACGCCCAAGTCAACATTGGCTTCAGCTCCGCACAGATCGCTCTTCTTAAAGAGCTGATTCCGATACTTCCCCACGAATCGCTCGATACCGTCTTCTTCTGGAATTCGGGTGCAGAGGCCGTTGAAGCAGCCGTCAAACTTGCCCGTGCCGCGACGAAGAAGCCGAACATCATCGTCATGCAGGGCTCATACCACGGCCGCACGAACGCGACAGCCTCGATGACGCGATCTAAAACTATCTACGGCGAAGGTCATGGACCTCTGATGGGTGGCGTCTTTGCGTCAGCATTTCCATACTACAGCCAGTTTGGCATGTCTCCAGACACACCGAAGGAGCAACTCGTGGGCCAGGCACTGCTTCAATTGAAGCTTACACTGCAGCAGCAGACGTCTCCCGCAGATACCGCAGCTATCATTCTGGAGCCCGTTCTTGGCGAGGGAGGCTATGTCCCGGCACCACCCGAGTTCCTACACGGCGTCAGGCAGATTTGCGACGAGCACAACGTCCTTTTCATCGCTGACGAGGTCCAGTCTGGTATGGGCCGCACGGGACACATGTGGTTCGTGCAGGAGTCTGGCGTACGACCAGACATTCTCATCTTCGCAAAGGGCATTGCGAACGGGTTCCCTCTATCCGGTATTGCGAGCAGTAAGAAGCTCATGGATCTCCAAAAACCAGGATCCATGGGTGGCACATATGCGGGTAACGCAGTCGCATGCGCCGCCGCAACAGCCACAGTCAAAGCATTCCACGAGGAGAAGATCCTGGACAATGTCGCCGCGCGCTCCAAGCAGATCTTCTCGTTCCTCCGTGATCTCAAAGCTTCTGGCACCAAGGCCGGTAACTTGATCGAAGATGTTCGCGGATCGGGTCTCATGGTCGGTGTCCAGTTTGCAAACCCAGAACTGCAACGCGACTCGTCAAATACTGCTGCGCAACATGCTCAGAGCCAGCCACAAATTGCACCCAAGATTGTGCAGGAATGCGTCAAGCGAGACATGCTTCTCCTCAGCACTTCGGTGTTTGACGTGCTGAGGTTTATTCCGCCACTCACCATCAGCGAGGAGGAGTTGAGCCAGGCTTGTAACATCTTCAAGGAGTCCCTGGAGGCCGTCGCGAAGGAAATGTAGATGTCTTTGGCTTGGTGATGCGATGCGCGCCATGTCGGGAAACTTGAGATCGTTTTTGCTAGCAGATATATACCCTTTTCCGCGTCTGGATGTGCGACCAGTCACAGAACAGTCACTCAATTATTGATGCATCCATTGCTTGAACGATGCGACGGAGCTGCGACCGGATAGAAGTTGGGCAGATCGATCCCGTAAGCCGCCTCGCCTTCGCTGTTCGGAAGGCCGAACACCAATCAGCGGCGTTCGTCTCAGCTGCTGCCAGAAGCGGGCGAACAACCCGCCGACTCGCACAGTCGCGGTGCGCAACACCATGTGTACGAGCAATACTAAGCAGAGCTGGATTTCGCATATGTGAATAGACATGGCAGAACGATGTGTCCATAAAAGATGCAAGAATCACTCAACTCTCAATCGAACACAGTCGCAACCTTCTTCTCTTTCTCCTGACCATACTAAATAACATCCGATTAGCCATCAATGGCTCTCAAAGCAGTCCTCGTCACAGGTGCGACTGGTAAACAAGGTGGTTCAGTCGTTGATGCCTTGCTCAAAGCGAACGCACCCTACGAAATCCTAGCAGTCACCCGGAACGCCCAGTCGTCATCCTCCAAGAAGCTCGAAAAGAAGTCGTCGAGGATCAAACTCATCACTGGAAACCTCGATACAGCCGACGAGATGTTCAAGGCAGCGAGAGAGTCCACCAAGATGCCCATTTGGGGAGTCTTTAGTGTTCAGGTGAGCATGTTTCCAGCAATGATAGTCGAGCTTTGCTGAATCTTCTACAGGCGCTCGGAAAGAATGAGGAGAAGCAAGGAAAGGACCTTGTAGATGCGTCTATCAAGAACGGTGTATCGCACTTCGTCTTCTCTTCCGCGGATCGAGGCGGTGCAAAATCAGACTCGGATCCGACAACCGTCCCCCACTTCATCACGAAACATAATATCGAGCAACACCTCTTCTCCGAATCCAGGAAAGGCAACATGACATATACCGTACTGCGACCTGTGGCATTTTACGAGAATCTGACTCCAGATTTCTTCGGCAAGGTGTTTACAACGAGTTGGGCAATCAAGCTGCCAAAGGAGAAACCTTTACAACTTATCAGTACTAGTGACATTGGGTTCTTCGCCGCTCAAGCGTTCCTCAAACACGATACTCCGGTATACCAAAACAAGGGTATGTCGTTAGCAGGAGAGTCGCTTTCGTTCCAGCAATTCAAGGGAATCTTCGAAAAGCAGACGGGTGAAAAGCTTCCGATGACGTACCGATCTGTCGCCGGGGCGTTGTGCTGGATGTCGAAAGAGCTTGGGTACATGTTCGATTGGTTTCGCGAGAAGGGATTTGGCGCGGATATTGAGGAGTGCAAGAGTATGAATCCGGAGATGAAGGGGTTTGAGACTTGGCTTGGAACGGAGAGTTCGTGGAGGAAAGGCTGAAGGACAATGAATGTAGACGTGGGATGGCAAACTTGACTTAGCCAAATACATGATATGTTCTTATTATGAATTGTAGTACATCTCAATCGATCGTAAACATTATCGTAATAATTCGGACAGCCAGCTTAAGAAGCAAGACATCCTACTCGGTCGACCTTCGCGGTACTAGAGTCTCGACGCTTCTTTTCCGGCTAACCTCATCCCTTCCTCTCCGTCAACAAGTACGCACCACCCTTCTCCTCCTCTACCACCATTGCCGCCAATCGCCGCTTTGAAGTTAGCTTTCGCGTACTCTAGAACTTCGGCATCGAAACTTCCAGGCTGAAGCCATACAGCAGGAATTCCAGCCTCCTTGGCCTCTTTGAGCAACTGCTTCGTCACTGTAGGTGGCGTAATCACTGACAGGGAGTAGCTGGATGCTGGTGGGTCCTGGAGAGCAGTCGGCGAGGGCACGGTGGCGTGAGCACGGTTCAAGATGGTAACACTCGGGCTTCGCGGGTTCAAAGGCGTTGCGGGGAGGGAGTGCTGGAGATACCAAGCGAATACTGCGATATCGTGTTAGAGATGATAGGATCCAGGTAGCACTGGGAGAGGATATTCTAGCGTACTCTTATGTCCGTATTTGTGTGGGTCGGAAGACGCGCCGGCGACCGCAAAGCGCGGGCTTGAGAAAAAAAGTTTCAGGGCTGCCTCCATTTCTGCGTCGCGCTTTTGGCCTCGCGTGGTCGGCATCTGGATGGTTTATATTTTGGAGGGTATGCGATTTACTTATAAAGAGTTGCATTGTAATGGTGAAGGGTACCAGGCTAGAGGGTGCCTTATCGATAACGCTCTATAGCCGAGGCACGCGTCACGTCATCTTCTGCGCTTGCATTGGTGGCATCTTTGCTACGCGCACCGTTTTGCTCCTGCGTTTATCAGCATGCTCACACCATGAGATTTCGTGGTGCTCTCTGACTGGAAAGCGCGTCATTTCTGGGTTTGCATGATTCCCACATCTATCGAATTCTGATAAGAACACTAACATATTTCAGCGGCAAAGCGATGTGAAAGCTCCAAGGAGACGCGCGGGATCTCGACACTCAGCAAAGACTCGTGGATTGAGTCATTCCTCTGCGACTCCGCCTTTCCTTGCTCTCTTGGACCTGCCACATTGAGGCCCTCGCTTCGCTCTTCGACGCTTCCTTCGCTTCTTTGCTCCTCCATACCTCGTTCATCGTCCTGAAATTCCTCGGCTTGCTCTGCATCCTTCACCATCTCGACCGCTGCGGGAGCTCGGAGCACAGGGTGTTCCTTGTTGGACATATCGATTACTGCCAGAAGATCTCCCTTTCGCGTTCGCGGATAATCATTGCATGCGCCCTGCCACTGTCCGGCTCCGACAGCCTCGTGTGCAAGCCGCTGTAGCTGCAGTGTATCGTTTGTGACCCACTCGATACTGGAAAATGGCTTCTTCCGCTGCAACCGGGCAGTGACAGACGGTAGACAGGCAGCGATAAGCATAATCAGGCCTCCGATGGAAAACATTAATATAAGACCGAGTACGTTGAACGAAGTATAGGAATCACTTCGGATCTTCTGACTACCACAGAGCGCTCGTGCTTCCGGAGACGTGGGCGCTGAAAAGAATGGCACAGCCTCTGGGACAACTGGACCGGTCGCTTGGTCGAGTATGGCCCTTTGTAAGTCGGCCATCGTGAATTTGAACCAATGCTCCAGCTCCAGCTCCCACTGATTGTCTGGTAAACCACCTTGCCCACTATCTGAGACATAATCACTCGCGAGAAGCGATCCGCCCTTGAGCTGTTTGACGAGTTCATGGAAGCCACCGGCCATATCCCTGATGGCGCGTAAGGACCAAAGGAATCTCTCAGAATCTTTGGGCTGTGGAAAGAGTGTTGAGGAGGCTATTCTTGTGGCCTCAAATATGCCATTCAGCGGCGTACAGTTTTCGACTTCTTCTAAGGATGGCCGGCAAAACTGGTATTGCTGAGCACATGCTAGTGCTCTGATTGGCAGCTCGGTAGCGTAAGAAGTCAGGTTCCCAAACTTCTGACCGCGGTTGACCACCTTGTCCAGAGCTTCAAACCATAAGTCGGTGACGGGTTCGAGATACCTGATATCCTTCATCTGAAGGAAGTACACACCGAGGTCTGCGTCAGGAACTTCTAGTTCCTGGATTGGCCGCCAGGCATCGTTTGAAAAGACTTCGTCGTTGTTGATAACGTTGTAGCGTGTGACGGCACTTGTACGCATGTTTAGTTGTAGAAGTATTTGATCGACGAGAAGGACTTACGAAACCGAGTACTCGCTTCCTAAAGGTCCTCGATGAGTGTTCGCATCAGCAAACTGAAGAGTGCACTCAAGGTCGTTGCTTTCACAGAAACCTTCATTATAGTGTCCATACAGGAACTGAACACTCCACTGGGGTTGCGTTGAATTTCTGTATGTGTACCCCTCGCCGCGTATTGGGGCACATTCGTTAACGGTTCGATAGAGAAATCTTGAGGAAGGTGGCGAATTGATACCTAGATCAGAGTGACTATTCAGGAACCCGGAATCCAAACGGAGGGCCGCTGTCGGAGAATGACATATCTTGTTTTTGCCCGGGAAGGGGCAGGAAATGCCAGTCGTGACCGTCACAGGGAGGGTATCTCGGACAAATTTGCGGCAGCTATCTGCTGACCCCGACTTCCTATAGCAAACTGACTCATAGTTGGCGCTCGCTCTGGTCCTACTGGCAATATACGATTGAGCTACGCGGTAGTTTTGTCCGGTGAACAGGGAACTGTTCAACGTAGCACACCTGTCACCAACGAGAAGAACCTCGCCACCCCTCGTAGTGGCTACTCGCGAAGAGAATACTCCGGCTGTGCTGAAAGCGCAAAAGGTCGCTAAGCTGAGGACTAGTGGTAATGACACCGATCTGAGTAAAGCGGGCGGAACCACCACCTTCCGCCAGGCCCAAGACATTCTTGATAGTCTCCATAAAGCCGCTGTACTGGTCTCGGAGTTGCGAAGTATCGCTTGCTTTTGGTGGTATAATGCACTTTGTGGTATCTTTCGGCTCATGTTCTGATGGATGGCGAATGAGACGATGGTCCAGAAACAGGTTCCAGTAAACGTAGTGAACAGCGCAAGGAAAGCGATGAGCAGACCGCCATTTTGAAGAGTAGTCGTGAGTGTGAGGCCGGCTATCGAGCCATGAGACCAATTTGTCCAGACTCCAAGGTAAACTGACTCGTGTTCGGATGCCATTGTATCTAGGTGACGTTTTAGGGTGACGAATATTATCTTGGAGATGTACAATAGATATACAGGGTCTTGTTAACGATTGGAAGTAGGTTATTGGTAATAGTATACAGTGTTTTTGTGGAAGGTATGTGTCTAGCTATCGAAGCAGATTGTAAAGAGTTGTGCATCGCCAGAACACGATAAAGTACGCAATGCAGCTCATAACTCTGCTACCTGCTGTCTCTTCTATATTTAACGGACGAGATAGCGTCTGATAGAGCGGTTGCGCGAACATACTTGTCGTTAAGATGCTTCCACGGTGTAGAACGAACCATTGGAAAGGTAGAAGCGACTTGCAACGAGGCGCAGTTTGTTGCGATGATAGCATTAGCCGTATTGGGTAGTAGGCCAGAGCTAAGATCATAGGTTTGTGCTCTTCGAAGTGGGGGCGGGGAACGCGGAGAGATAAGAGGACGAAGGCACAAGGCTGAGCAGCGAAAGTCTCACTGCTTTTCCCACACGAAGATACAGACGTCAACTGTATGGGCAACATATTCCACATTACCTGCGATTTAATGCAGTGGTAAATCTTGGGAGGCTTCTTCACCGCACAATTACATCGAGTTTCAGCTCATGAGGGTCAAAGGCCTTGGACGCCGTGACAATGGTGCCTGCGGATGGGTCAGCCTTCCCTGGATACACAGCATCATGCATATTATTATAAGCTATGCTGTAACACGAAGACGGAGGAGGAGTCGACACATGCACGAAAGGTCGATTTAAAATAGCCCCAGAGAATGAAAGGGTGCTCCCATGAAAACAATACTGGCATAGGGACCGTCTTCATTTGGGGGCTGAAAATTAGCAAACCATGGACTGATACCGAGAATAGTAGATCTGCGAATGTTGTGCGACAGCCGACGGCCTATCATACCGCAGATAGCGCAGCTACCAAGGCTGCACACCATCCTTGTTGATAACTTTGCCGCTATCCTCGTCTCTGTTCCCTTCCACAACATCCTTGATGAACACGCCCCCAATACTTGGGTCGCCCGCACCCCATTTCTTCAACATTTCCGGCCCCATGCCTCCCAATCCCGTAGCCAGAAATCCGGGGCTGATGCCAAAGACTTTGACTCCATCGACGCTAAGACTTTGTGTCCAGTCTAGCATCATCATGTTCATCCCAGCCTTACTCGAGCGATAAGCTGTTTGGGCCATGGATGGTGGCTTGGGCCAACCCTTTGGCGGCGGTGCGTTCATGAGCTTGGAATTGAAGCTACTGGAAGAGGTTTCGAGGGAAGACAGACCAGAAGTCACGAAGAGAAGCCTAGGGTGTTTGGAGGCTATCAATAGGGGCGCGAAAAGATGGGTCACTACTTGGGTGGAAGTGACGTTAAGGGAGTAGCTTCTGTCCCAAGCTGCGCGAATGCCTTTGGGGCTAGGGTCCTTGCGCATGATGCCATCAAAAGATCCGCCTACCACACATCAGTCTGCCGCATTGGAGAGACAGAGAACAGCACATACCGGCATTGTTGATCAGCGAGTCAATGTGACCATAATTGCTCTCGATGTTCTTGAATGCGTTTTCGATCGACGCATCGTCCTCAATGTCGATTTGGATGGGGACGACATCTGATTTGGCCTCTGAGACTTCACCTTTGAGCTTGGAGATGGCATCTTCGGCTTTTTCGAGAGAGCGACTACCCATCAGGATGGTGTGCGGTTGTGGTGAAGCATACAGAGCCTTTACGGTCTCGTACCCAATGCCAGTGTTGCCGCCCGTGATGAAGACGATTGAAGAGTCGGCCATTTTGTGTCAGGTGTCGTCATACAAATTCGTATACTGGTGCGATCCGAAATATCTTTGGACAAGATACCACCGTTTCTTCGTTGGCTCGTTGGCTCTGTCCTCCTCTTTATACCTAGGCACCCGAAGAATCTGCCCAGGTGGTGAGCTTCCTCGCCCGGAGTTAGGAAGACGTCACCCGGACTTAAAGTCCCCCGCATCGCACACAATCACACCACGCGTAAGCTTAATACCTGCATTGAGAAAAATATTGGTACCCAAACATCACTAGTAGATGTGATAAGTCGATCGCACGGTGAGGTGATGACGTTGCCGCCGACATGGATGTTGGACAGCTGGCAATCCGCGACCCCGGAGTTAGCCCGTTGTCCATAACACTCCATTTGAGCCGCGTATTCAACCATTTATTCGTTTACAAGCCAGTATCGAAGACGACCTGGATGAAGAATACACCGAGGGCGACTGATGCGTTTTCTACATTACTGCCTACCACTGGAACACATGTTGGAAAGAGCTTCCCCATGACTATACCCTATACGATAATCTACATCGCGCACGCGTAGAATGCACCTGGCACAGGGATCGAGCATAACCCTTCAGTAGGCACATCCTAGATAAATCCGTGACAAAAGAAATGAAAGGAATTTAGCTGCTCATCTTCCCACTGTCTAAACGGGCTCATCCACTTTGACGGCTTCCATCATTGCTGAAATTGCTGATAAAAACGACCAGGACGGCGCAGTATGCGGCACTGGCTGCAAAAAGCTCATGTCGCTTCGCTTTTGTGAGCAAGCTCATGGCAGCAGAGAATAGCAATGTGAACACAACCAGAATCCCAACGGCGTCGAAGGTGGAGTTACGATCACCCACCGATGTCAGCTTGTACATGGCAACAACCGGGAGTACCAGGAGGATAAAGATGATGAGTGTAATGATCAGCCCAACAAGCTTCTTTATGCGAGACTGAGAGTAGTAGTGAACATGCTCGTCATTCGTCTTGTCGCGAAGTTCTTTCGTTGCGAATACCCTCTACGTTGTCTTTTAGCACACATCTGCAAAGGGTGGGAACGACTCACCTGGACGAGGCGACAATGTACCCTCTGGATGCAGGATTCGATGAGTCCGTCGAAACCGGACCATTCGCGACCGTGTCGGAGTGAAACAAGGTCTTCCTTACGCTTGATGAACTGCTCTTCTAGCTCGTAGCTAAGCGGCTTCTTGTTCCAGAACCATGTGCGAAAGCTGCGGTAGTCGCGGTTGGATGGCCGCTGGAAAGCGTTCAGCTCTCTAGTTTTGACGAGAATCTCATCTACATGCAAGACTTAGTAAACGTGATGCAAGGCGAAACGGTGAACAACCGACCGTAGCTCACGAGTTTGCTCCTGATCTTTTCTAGGAGGCTAGCACGAGGGCTGACTATGCCTTGATCCTTCGCAAACCTAAGATCGTCCTTCCGAGACCGCAGCCGATCCTCTCCTTCATTCTCTAGGTCTACCTCTTCTAAATCCTCTTCCAAACAACGTAGCTCGTCCTGCAAGTCGAGTATGACGCGAGCGTGTAGGTAACTGAACCCGCGATAGATGGACCAGCTGGATTCACTCGACTGGAAAGCCGCTTGTAGGGGGTAGCCCGTTGGGTACTCCTGTACTGCTTAAAGAGTTAGCAATGAGAATAAGGCTGAGTTGAGTGGCGGAGCTTACACGGTATGGTCTTTGTCGTCTTGATTTCTGCGTCGATCTGTGCACGCGACAATTTTGGACCTAGTCAGTTGTATTAATACCGCACATCAGACCTTGCGATGAGGCGGAGCACGAACGAATTGCCTCCTTGTTCACTAGCGTGACTGCACGACTGGTGATGTCCACGTCGATAATAGCATCTCTTGAGCTATCCGATCCACATTTTTCAACGTCGACAAAAGGAGTGGAGGGCTGCATATTGAAAAAAAAAGCACGCAATGTTTCATTAGATGGGCAAAATTGCTTGACAGAAGCCGCAGAGAGACTGGAGCTTTAACACAATGTGGTCGTTACATCAGGCTGAGATCTGACAGCTGACTATGGAAGCAGGCCTTTTCATTGGGAAACGCTAGCGTTCCGGTGAAGAGGACTTTCAAGCAGCCCTCAAGTCATCCTCGGGAAACCAGGCTCCTTGCGCGTGCAATACGCCATCATAGTAAAGTTGGTATTTCCACGAACTAACAGGGCATTGGCTCGCAGCGACCGTGAATGTCTTGAAGAATGTTCTCGTGCCGCCTTTTACTACTGGTTCTGTGACTTTCATCTTGACTTTTTCTCCATCTTTGAAGCCTGGTTCACGCTTTGCGAGACTGGTCAGCTTATTTTCGATACAAGCAGCGCAGGGGCCGACTCACTTCTTCGGCATTCTCGTCCCGCGCCACGTTGGCTTTCTTCCGCTCGCCCTCCGTCACTGTGTCCTAAGGGAACGCGGAGGACTCCGGTCAGCGTGAAGCCACTCAGATCTTACATGGGATGGAGGGGTTCGTGTGACCTACCTGGGAGGACATAGTAGTCATTCAGTACCCTCGTGTCAAAGCCTAATCGTCTTGTGTACAGACTCTCTAGTCTGCGGATGGTGAGGCAGCGAGGCAGCGAGGCAGCGAGACAGCGAGGCAGCAAGGCAGACTTATGTACTGCCGTTGTTCTTATAACATAGCCTCAAGACAAAGCAATTTATGTAGGCAATCCTGCGGGTAATCATAGACCTCACAAGCTGATGGGCCTTCAACCCAAGATTTGAGCCGCATGATCTCCGTTTGTCGAATCAAACGTGAGGCGTTGGGTCGTAGAGGAGGGTCGACCTACGCTGCGGTTGGCGAACCAAGTGGTGGCGCCGGAGGACGATAGCGGGGTCGCGTCAAGGTTCCCCAAGCCAATAGGTAACAAGGCAAACCGATAGGTAAACTAGACGAACATGTGTTCGAGCTGTTCAACATAGATGATGGGCGATTGCGCTGAATAGGATGTACACAGCCACACGAGGACCTTTGCAACGACTGGGGCTGCCGCAGCGAAGTGCGCGATAGGATTAAATAAGGCCACGGCTTCCTGCTGTACCTCCCAGTAGTTGAAGCCTTCTCGTCATGACAGCCTCACGCCCGTCCGGTGTACGACAGGTGCACGCAACATGTGTCAATGCCGGTCAAAGCCCTGCACCAATGACCCTCCCACGTCAAAACTCCCCTACCGTTGCCCAAAGCGGAGCCTTGCTGCGTCCTGGCGATGATGCAGTGGCACTCAAGCGTGAAGCGGAAAGGCGAACTCTGTTCCAGAAAACATCCAATAATGCGCTCGACATACCGAATGGATACCGTAAGGTTGAAGTGCTCATCCTCCGGTGGGATGAAAGCATCGATGAGTTCAAAGACGGGCACAACAAGGAGGTGACTTATACTGCCCGTCAATACGAAAGACTGATACTAACATGCTGTCTAGGTTCAGAGGCTGAAATGGTTATTCTCCAAAGGCCTTGGCTATGGGGTCACAATCGCGAATATCAAGAACACTCGCAACCCCCAGGTCGCGTTCAACCTCGAGATCCTTCAGCATGTGCACAAACATGATGATGAGGACAATCTTCTCATCGTTTATTACACAGGACACGGTAGCCAAGTTGTTGATGGCAACGTCCGAAACCTGGAGCTATCCGCGTAAGTTGAATAGACCCGGGTCAGTTGCGCGAGGCTGACAGGGCGTAGGACAGAAGGATCGAGTGTCTCCGGTAATTTCGCACCAGTCGCTTTCTGGGGCCAAGCAGAAGAGCCTCTACGCACCCTTGCCACGGCTGATGTGCTGTCAATCCTAGACTGCTGTTGCGCTAGTACTGCAGCCGTCAAGGGTAGAAGCACCGAGCTGAGAGCATACCAGCTGTTGGCAGCATCGACATTAGAAGGCTACACGAATGAGCCTGGGGAGAAGTCGTTTACTACGGCCTTCTGTGACTCGCTCGAAGAACTGATCGAGGAGTCTAAAGAAGAGAGTTTTTCCGTCATCAAGCTCTGGGAGAGGATCAACACTAAACGAGCATCCAATGCTGCACTCACATGGGATCGCCTCCAACGATTCACGCGGAACATCGACCTGTACCGCCTCAATCCCAACACCAGAAGAGACGCATCATTCCAGAGACGGGATGCCGAGAAGTCTTCCCTACTGTTAAGACTATCCCTGAGAACGAGAGACCTGGACGACGTCAGGATTGACAAGCTTGCCCGACAATTGCATATCGCCTGCAAGACGTCGGGTATCCCTGTACGTCAACTGGAATGGGTGAAAATGGAGCAGCCAAATCCTGCAAAAGCCTTTCGGAAAGCGGTAAGGAAAGTGCAAGACAACTTGAAACACGAGAGCGCTCCTGGGAAGCCTAATGAGCAACAAAAGCAACAGGTAGAGGCACATGCAGACCAGGCGCCCTCGCCAGAACCTGAAGCGCGCGCACAATCCATGACAGTAGGGAGGGAGTCATTTCCACAAACTCGACCCGAAAAACAAAAGCTTCCGGGTCCGAACCACGAACTGTGTGCGACGTCAAGAGGCAGCATATTCTGTCTTCTGCGCATCTGAACAGGTCGGTGGGTGGCTATGGTGACTTAATCGATCCAGTTGTTTGGTGGCGGCGTTGGCAGATCACAGGTGAAGGATGCCCGGGTGTGCACGGGTGGGATTGATCGCGGCTGGTTGCAAATAGATGCGACGCGGAAGAAGATATTGATACCATAGACTTGTAGCTTAGTTGTTAGAGAGATAGTAGTGGTGCTTGAAGTAGCGCTGAATATGCAGCGTGAAGTATGAAGAGCTGGCTTCGAAGAACCTTCCAAGGTTGGATCCGGACGCGTGACCTCGTGACGGATGATCTACGCGCTTGGCTGAAACAGGACAGCTCCGCCGCTATCTCGGCATCATCGCGTCAACCCAGCCACCGTGCCAGCTGCCATTGACGTTATCACAGCTCTTGCTACCATCTACACTCCAGCAAACATGAAGTCAACGACGATCTTACTACCTCTGTACACTGCAGCCCTTGCAGCTGCATTTTCGCATCCCAAGGACCCCCAGGCGGTCCTGCAGGAGCCGCAGCTTACTATCATCGAGCCAGACGAGTATCTCATCGAGCTGTCACCGGGTGAGACAAGATGGGTTACAGAGGATGAGAAATGGGAGCTACGCAAGGTATGGCCACCCGGCACCGACAGTGGACGATGTGGAGCCTGCCGCTGACATGCTACAGCAAAACATTAACTTCTTCGACATCACGCACAATGAAGAGCTCGGCACACTGGATCGCCGGTTCAAGACCGAGAGCGTCAAGTTCCCAGAAAAGCCTGTACACAACGAGACCATCGTTCCCCTGCTCAAGAAGCTGGAGAAGAACAACATGCGCGAGCATCTCGAGACCTTCACCTCTTTCCACACGCGATACTATAAGTCCAAATACGGAGTCGAGAGCTCGGCATGGCTCCTTGGCCAGGTCAACAAGACTCTTGCGGATGCAGGCGCTGTCAAGGCCTCCGTGAAGGCGTTCCCGCACCCATGGGGCCAGTCCTCCATCATCGCCACCATCCCTGGCAAGAGCGACAAGACAATTGTCATCGGCGCTCACCAGGACAGCATCAACCTCTTCTTCCCAGCTCTCCTGGCCGCCCCAGGCGCCGACGACGACGGCAGCGGTACCGTAACTATCCTCGAAGCCCTGCGCGTACTCCTCAAGTCGGAAGAGATCCTCAAGGGCGAGGCAGACAACACAATTGAGTTCCACTGGTACTCTGCTGAGGAAGGAGGCCTCTTGGGATCGCAGGCCATCTTCCAGTCCTACGAGAAGGAGGCTCGCAAGGTCAAGGCTATGCTTCAGCAGGACATGACCGGCTACGTCCAGAAGACGCTGGACGCGGGCGAGCCTGAGTCTGTTGGTGTCATTACTGACTTCGTTGACCCCGGTCTCACCGAGTTCATCAAAAAGATCATCACTGTCTACTGTGGCATTCCGTATGTTCTGACCAAGTGCGGTTACGCCTGCTCAGATCACGCCAGCGCGTCCAAAGCCGGCTACCCGTCAGCCTTCGTCATTGAGTCCGACTTCAAGTATAGCGACAACAAGATACACACAACCGAAGATAAGATTGAGTATCTGAGCTTCGACCATATGCTTCAGCACGCGCGTATGACGCTTGCTCTGGCGTATGAACTTGCTTTTGCCAAGTTTGACTAGCGGCGATGAAGGAGGACAACGTTTACTTCCCGCCGTCGACATGGATGTTTCGTAGTTATTGCACGAACAGCCAGCGGTTTTGCAGTCATGAATCAACGTATTGTTAATGATCCTCCAAAACATCGAGCACTCCATGTGGTGTATATGCATGCGTCTGTCGCTGCACATGTGATTCGGTGTAGGGCGTACGTGCTAACACAATGCCCTAGTGGTGACCTATTTACCCTCATCCCGGAGCCGCGTCCGCATGGCTAGCTGAGATTCCCGAACGAACGTTGCTCTCCCACATTCTGATCTTTCTCGGTCTGGTCAAACACATCCCCGGTTCCTAGATACTATTCACACGTTGTCGTGGTCACTACTTCAGATGAACAAGATGAGTGCATGCAGGTGCAAGCAGAATCGCCAGAAGGAAGATGCATGGCGAACGTACCAACAATTACAAGAGTACGCTCTACCTTCACCTTTGCGAGTACATGGATTGATCTACAAATAGGGCTATGCAACAGACAAGTTCCATCAACAACAAGCTTCAAGAATTGAAAAAGGAAAGAATGCGGCTTCTGGTCGAGAAGCGTGCTCTATACGCGAAGTATGTGGAAGAATGCATTGTTTTCGCTCTCAAACATACAACACACTAACGCATTCTTCCAAGGACGTCGCGAGCCACTGTAAGATCTCACAGTCGAGCTTGGAATATGGCCTTTTGCGATGAGATGCAACGTCTCTTGCCACGTGAGATACGCGAAATGATCTATGAAGAGCTCTGGAGCGCGAATGGCGGCGCAACCGCTCCTGTGCACAAGTCCTGGAGCCACCTGTGCGACCTTGTAAAGGAAGACTGCTATTGTAAATTCGGAACTTTGGAGGAATGTATGGGACACAAAGCAGCTCCACACTTCATCAAACAGTCCTACATTGGAATTGAGACCGCGCGCGAGGCGCTGGAGATGTGGTACAAGATGGTACCTGGAGGATCGAATTACCGCCACCTCTTCGCAACGACGCTTTCTGAGGCAATCCGGCTACTCACTGCAGATGCTTTCAAAGTTGGTCTCAAGCCTACAGCGGTACTGAGAGGACTGATTGTTGAGGTCCCCGTTAAGGACCTTGTTGCTAGCCCGGCCGAAGCGCAGGCCATGGTTGACCAATTACTTCGCATCGTTCATAAACGCGACTTCCACCTTTACATCCGACTGCCCCAGAGAAACATCCGACTCAACCTCTGGACCCCCATTTTTGAACTATTGCGACCCGTATTGACAGCTTTCAAGGAACACAGTCGGAACATACGCGTTCAATGGTTCTACCAACCAGACAGGACTTCGACTATAAAGTACGACCTCAACTCACATATCCGCCAAGACCACCCCTCTCGACTATCATTTGGAAGGATGTTCGATCCATTTCCGATAGGAACACTCTTGTCTTGTGGAATGTAATGCCACCTGCAAAAGCGGGACGTTGTCCAGGTATGGGGTTGCGCGACAAGGACATTCGATGCGATGACGAACGAATTACATCGGAAGGATCGTTCCTGCAGACGATCTTCTTATGCGAAGTAACGCATAAACGCCACTGACAACATTGTGTGATCCTAGAAGAACAAGTCTATGAGAGAGTCAGGGCACGTAGCATGGTCCTAACGTTCGCGACTCATGTGTGCATGCACAGCACAAAGCCGAGCTAAGAGGTTGGCCCTGCTTTGTGCTACGCGACCGAGCTTTGGGTCAGCCTTACTTCCAATTGAGCATAGCATCAGCAACACGATTAATTGTTCAGTCAAGCTTCCTAGAAGGACATGATGTGTGATTCAAAGAGTTACGGCCCATCCATCTATATGCAGATGTAGATGCAGATGCGAATCGCAGCGGCGACAAAAATCATGAAAAGGTGTGAGTCCGAGATACAGAATCATGTACATGCCGTGTACATGAGTGAAGCAGACCAAATGAACAGACATGGAGTGCGCGACAGATCTTGAAGGAGCTCAAGAGGCCATGAGCAAGCTATACCAAGCCATAGAGCGGTCGAGGCAAGGTGCCACAGACCTGGCTGCCAGTGTTGCCAGCCTGGAGCTTCGCACCCTTTAGGCCAACATAGGCTTCGCGCCTGGCTGGATTGCCAACAGTGACACTCCAGGTCTTCAAGCCATAGTAGACCCCAATGTGGTGTACGAGCCAACGTCCGAAGCTGCCTCCAACGTCTTCCTCGGGTGTCTCAAAGAGCATGAGCTCCTTCTTGATAGCCTCAGCCTCTGTAGGCGAGCGGAGATCGTTCATCTGCCCGTTCCTTCCAACGAAGACGATCTCGTCGTCCTCGCTGTCCGGATCGGCAGGTAGGCCGTCTTGCTCTGCCTTGCGCTCCTTTTCTTCCCAGCCCTCTACGAACTTGCGCACTTCGCCTTCAAGGTCCATGAGCAGACCCTTGGCACCGCGTGATCGCTTCAGCTTCTCGCGCAGCTCCTTGGGTACGACACCGGGAGTTGTGGGCTTGTTGGCTACAGTCTTGGTCGCGGACTTTTGGGCGACGGCGGCGGTCTTGCGTTCGTTGGACTGGCGCTTGAGGCCGGCGTCCCAGAGCGGAGCGAGATAGTAGGGTACATTCTTGGACGTGTAGGTAGGATGGACCTCCCAGTCCTTCGGCAGCGGAGGCTCAGCGTAGGGGTTGTTTAGGAGGCGATCTGGCTAGAAATCAATTGACGCGTACTTTGAACGATGAATTATCGCAGTGCATGAGAAGATCAGGAGATGGTGTCGTGATGCGCGAAGCGTCTCCAGCGGAATGGGGAGGGGCAGACCCTCAACGTACCATTCTCCCAACGCTGCCTGCGCCTTGACCCCTCTTTGCCGCGGAGCAGGGCTTCACGCCTCTTCAAGCTGTCGCGACGGAGTGGTTCCTTGCGATGATAGTAGCCACCCTCCTTTGCAGCTGCCGAGGCACCTACGGGGTGGGCGGCAGCGGCAGGCGCATCATGTTCGAGCGGTATCGCAAGCGTAACCGAGGTACCCTGAAGCGCATCACCAGGGGTGGATATAGCCACCGAGCTGAGCGCAACCGTTGCTTGCTCGGTCCACGCTTCGATGTCGATGGGCTGAGGCGGGGCAGCTGCCTGCTGAGGGCTTGAGGGAATATCGCCGACGGCCATTGTGGTGGCGTTGAGGGTGCGAACTACGGGAGGCGTGGTAGGGATGGGCTTCAACAAAGGGAGATGCTACGAGATCGTAGTAGATAGATATCTGAACAGAGGACAAGGAGACAGAAGTCTATTACCCAGTGAGCATGTGTTTAGGGACAGATGGCGATAAAGGCCGCGGCGCGATAGGAGTCATTAGGTCATGGTCGTAGTTCGCGTCAT